ACTTTTTCACTTGCAATTGCTCCACCTATCATTGACTTTTCTTTTTTTTTTTTTACTTTCTCGAATTAGTAAGGAGGCCCCAGAATTAGCTCCAGTTCGGTTCCAACAAAATAATAAAAAAAAAGGAGGCCCCAGAATTTTGGTCCGTCCATAACAAGAATGATATCTCAGAACCGGTTTTGAACTTCAGAACCGGTTTCCCAAAAGACCAAGGAACCGCAAAAAGAAGGCTCTTAGGGTCGCGGTTGGTTACTTTTTGAAAATTATTTTCCTCAATTTTTGGAGTTCAGCATCCGTGAAAAAACTTTACTCAATGAAAAATGAGTAAGAATCGAGACTGAAAAGCTATATCATTTTGATAAAAATTCTGTTTTATATATAAAACAAAAAAAATAAAAATGTTTGGACAAGGGGAGCTCTTATTATTTAAAAAAAAATTCAAGGAAATGTTTCTAAATTTTAGAATGAAATAAATAAAAAAAAATTTTCTAAAACAGCAAAAAGAAATATGTTTCTGGGTTTGAATTTGTTTATACTCACATTAAAGGCAACAAGTGATCTGCAGTAATTAGTGTTGGTGAGCACTGTACTGGTCGATCCACACTCACTGTCCTGAAGAGAAACCGTTGATCTATCCAGCTTTATCGACCACGGAAATTGGTAGTTATGCGCGGTGGCTCCGACGTGCGACGACGACCGCTGCATCCGTACCGCCCTCGGCACATTTCTCCCTTCCACGGACGCCCTTCGTCGGCCGCTTGGCTGTCTCTCGTAAGAATCCGGCCTCGATTTCGGAGCACTCAGTGACCGGGCTTTGGCCCGGGAAGACTCCGTATTCGCCATGTAGTTCGGGTACAACGAGTAGTCGTAGGACAAGGATTCGGCGTATTCGGGTCGGGGGAGTGCGAAGGGGAGACTTGACGGGTCGGGTTTGGAGGTAGAAGAGTAGTATTGCGGGCTGCTCTGCGCCGTACCGAAGGAGCAATCCTCGAAATGGCCGCTGTAGGCTCTCGGGCTCATGTCGTTCAGGACGGACGGCGCCGGAGATATTTGGGAATGGTTGTCTTGCTTGGAGAATTGCCGATTTGAATAATGGGTGGAGTGTCTGTGCCCTGATATCTCTGTTTGGGGATGGGTTGGAATTGGATATCCATTTCTGCTCTTTGAATTTTCCTTGTATTCAACAAAATCCATCTCTACAATCTTGATGTTTTCCTCCATTCCTCTATCAATGTCCTACAAAAATATATCAAAAAATTGCAAATTAATGTTATATTAAATCTAATCAAATGAAATAGTGATGATTGGAAATATAAGTTCCAATCACTTTTTCAATATTTGAACATAAATAATTTTAATGGATCACGTTTACCATCTACCAGGGGGAGATTGTTCCGAATAAGACATTGAGATTATGGTTGAAGAGAAGTTTACATGGTAATTGTGACGGTGGTGGTGATCCTGGGTGGACTTTCTGTGGGTTGATTGCCTCTGATAAGTAGGCTTTGATTCTTCAGCCATCCGGATCCTCTGAGCTCGAGCTCTGGCCTGTACCGCCAACAATGCCTGCATGCACCTGAGGGTCTCCGTGGCTTGTTTCCGGACCAGGTGACCTCTAATCAGTGCCTGCAGCTTGACAATTCCTTTCAATGCGTTCAGTGCTCGTCTTGCCTGTGAATATGTGTGATGTCAATCAAGATAATTACATTTTCTATCCAATCAAATCCAATTGGGCAATTCAGGATGCTAACTATACCAAATATGCCCTGTAGGCAGACTGGATTTTTATTGCGGCAGCGTCTTCGATCATGCTGGTTCTGCCACTGGCAGCCGCAGTCAACCGGATCACAGCAGCTGCAGCCTGTGCAGCTGCCACCGCAGCATCCGCAGCTGCTGCAGCCATTGCCATGGCATGCCTTTTCTGCTCATCTTCCTTGTCCAATGCTGGTGGTGGAGGAACCGCAGCCTGTTCCAAACAATGAGAGTAGTCCTTGGGAGGTGCTGTTGCTGAAGATCTCCGGAAACTCCACCTCCTCTTCTCTTTAGGAGTTCCAGGCAGGACAGAAATCGGAGTTGATGGATTCTCAGGGGCAACAGATGAACTCTGATTGCTTGAACATTTTTCTTTTTCTTTTTCCTTGTCTTTTTTGCCTGTTAAGAAGCTCTTAAGCCATTTTCCAGTCTTCCCCATGGTCTGTCAAATCCTCCTGGTTTAGATCTACTCTGCCTTTACAGGATGAGTGCCAATCAGTACTATTATCGACTTCCTTAATAGACAATTTCTCTCTATCTTTTTATTTTTATTTTTATTTTTTTCTGACAGCCCGAAATTTTTTTGGCCAATTGACAGCCTAATCTTGCTCTTTGATTATTCTTTCCTACTTGTACGTACCATTTTCAGAGTCAGTGTATAAGGAACAGGAATAAAATATTTTAAAATATTATGAATCAATAAATAAATAAATACATATTATATTACATATAAAAAATAATTAATTATATAATGATATGTTGTAATTGTAAATTTACAATATCGTATAATATTATAATTGTATTATTTTTTATAAATGAATGACTATAGACTATACCAATCTTGTCCTTACATGTATATAATATGACTATAGACTATACCAATCTTTTCCTTACATGTATATAATATGATTCTTATAAGAAGTTGGTAAAGGACACTAATTGTCTAATTGTAATGCAGCGTGGGATGGCTCAGAAACCATGTGGAAATGGTTCAAGAACGTGGACAATCCGTGTAAAATACTCAAATTTGAGACTTGGAGAGATCACAGTTCGACCACTTGAGGTCAACTTTTGGAGTCATCATGGAACTTGGAACTTAGAAACCATCTGTGGGATTGTGGCCCTGTGGGGCTCCATTGGATATCTTCTTCTACATTGCATGAACTCGGATTGAGCATTCAATACAAACGCTTATAAGTTAAAACCTTATACCAATAATCTGTTAATTTGAGTAAAAAGAATTTGAGTTTTTTAAAATAAGATTTTGAATTTAAATCTTATAAATAAATAAATAAGTGTTAACAGTGTTTCTCTCTTACGAAGTCCGACTCGCCTTAATTCTAAATTAATCAAAATCTAATATAATATCTAAATATTAGAGGGTTAGTAAAAAAAAAAAAAAGTTATAATCTTATTTATTTTGATGGACTAAAGAGTCATATTAATGCAAATTTAAAGTTTGAAATAAGGGATACGGTTCCGATGGAAATGCCTGTGTCCAAAAGACAGTACTAATTCAAATAGTTACTTCTGTTCATGCGTTGAGGACCACAAGCAATAGGCAATTGTGTTCTTTAATTTATTAGGGTTTTCCCTTTGAAGTGGTAGTGTATTAGTGAAACTTAAAGGGGAAAGAAAAAACAAAAAAGTGGTAGCCATTGAAATTAATAACAAACATTTTGCAATTAGATGTAGTTTAGATTATAAAATAAGTATGAGAAATCAAAAGACCTTACTGTTTTCAGTTTTATTTTGGGTAAATTCCTCCTTCTTTCCCTAATTTATCTAACGTGGGAGACTTTTTTTGTTTCGTCCTTAACTTTCGCTTCATGTCACGAATCATCCTCAACCTTTCCAAAATTATCCCATATTGGTCCTTCCGTTAAATTTGACGGAAGAGTGAGGTGGCAAAGTAGGTTGCTCAAATTAATGTCGACAATATTTCGTTGAAGTTGGCCATCACATGGTGTGTTTATATGCTCCCCATTTGACTCGGTGTTCCGGTCGGGGAAACATCGTCGTTTTGTCTTCCTTCTCTTTCCAAATATACACTCCAT